GTCATCGCAACATTGCTAACCAAGTAGGTAGTGATTCAGATATGGATGAACATCTCAATGCTGATAACCCTCCTGTTGACCAGAACGCTGGGGGTGGCCCCATTGAAGACAATAATGTTGGTGGTGGTCGCACCGAAGTTGACAATGCCGGGGGTGGCTGCGTTGTTCCTTTTAAAAATCGTCCAAAGCATGATGCAGATGAGGACAAAAAGATGAAAGAGCTCGAGAGCAAAATCAACGCTCTGATGTCTGCTCGAGAGGTGAAGAAGACTAGTATTTCGTTTTCTTACCCAAGAGAGTGGGAGTCGATCTCGTATCCTGCGAAGTTCAACCTGATCAACTTCACATTGTTCGATGGGAAAGGATTGCCCACTCAGCATCTGATCTACTTCAAGTTCCACTTGGGCATGATCTTCAGTAATAAAGCCTTGATGGTTCGATCATTTATTAACACCCTTCATGAGCCTGCCTTCGATTGGTATCGCTGTCTTAAGCCTGAAAGCATCAATAGCTGGGACGATATGGAAAGCTTATTCCTTGGCAATTTCTTTGATGATGACACCAAGGTATCAATCAGAATGCTTTTTGAGGAAAAACAGGAAGACAAAGAGATGGTCGATGACTTTGTCAAGCGTTTCCAGAATAAGGCGATAAATTACCGAGATCCGATCACAGAGGACTTCCCTCCAAACCTATCATAATAACATGTCCATTGATATATTGAAAGTTATGGGAGTAGCACCATCCAAGACTTAGAAAGAGTTGAAGGTGCACAGAGAGCAAGCTGAACGCTTCCTCAGAAGGAAGAAAGCTGAGAGAAGCCAACCGGCAGCCAACCCTCCGAAATCAAACTTCGCTTCCCGTGGTAAAGGGAAGTCACATGCACTAGCTATTGATGTTAATTAGACGTCACAACAGCAACCCCTGAGATAGCAAAAGACTTCGGATCCGAGACTCCAAAAAGAGGACTCCTTCAAAAATGAAGACGTTTTGACTATTTTTGAATCCCTCCTCGAAAACAACAAGATCAAGCTGCCACCTATCACAAATCAGGAGGAAGCTAATAATACTTCGGATCTAAATTACTGGGCATACCACAGGAGGATCCTTCATCCTACCAAGGCTTGTTTCACCCTTAAGAATAGCATCCAAATCTTTGTTGAAGCTGGCGTTATAATGTTAAATTAATCTGTATCAAGACTCCAAAGAGTATACGAGTATAAACTACTTCTCATTCCTCCAACAGGTGTATAATGTTAAATTGCTCCCTGCATACTCCAATAGGTATATGAGTCTAAACTGTTTCCTACCTTTGACGAAAAGTTCCTCGAGAATCTTATATTCTTAAGGATAATCGGAAAATGTGACTGAGGACAATGTGCTCCTCATTGGACCCAGTTTCACAAAGAAAACTAGGGGTGGATAATTCATATAATGGTAAGTTCCTGGAAGAATGTTACATGTAATATTCTTAGGGATAACCCGGTCATTATGAACAAAGTGATAAACACTAAACTCCTATTGTTAGAGTCCTGACATAGCACTGGAAATTTTAATTCAAACGGTCTATTGCGATTGTCAAATCCCCTTCGTGTCAAGATCTAGTCATTTGACATCAAAAACCCCCACTGAGTGATTCGTACAAGTCAACCCTCCTACTGTGATTTATACTTTTACTCCCATTTGGTCAAACATTTCTACAGTTAGGACCAAAACCAAAAGCTCCTCTCGATTCCTTTCATGAACGAGAGTTTCACTTTCAAATCGAGTGATCAAACCTTCCTACAGTTAGGGTCAATTCAAACTCCCGCTTGGTCAAACCTTCCTATAGTTAGGGCCAAAACCACAATTCACTCTCAATAAACGAGAAATTCATATTTAGTTCGGCAATCAAACCTTCTGATAGTTAGGATTATCCGAATCTTTTTGATTCTCGGAGTGGAGATCCCGCTCTGAGTTTCACTCTTCAGATTCTCAAAGTGGAGATCCTACTTTGAGATTTCTTTGTAACTAGAGATAGAATATAAAATTCTTCTTCTCCAGCATCGGGTTCGTCTTTGCCCCAAGAGAAGACACTACCGTTCAACTCCTAAAATCCGTGTCTTACACGCGCGGGGAATTTTATCCCGAATTCTAAGTAGGGATAAGTCAGTACCTAACACGCGTTGCTTGTTTAGTCTTTCATCGATTGAAGAAGACACCAGAATCCAAGTCTGGGGACTTTTATCCTGAAGCCTAAGTAGAAATAAATCAGCGCCTAACACGCGTTACCGGGTAGTCTATTCCCATGAGAAAGACAAAGTCTACGTATTCAATATAATAGCACTAAGAGAGTTAACTCTTTTAGCACAACGTCACATGCGGAACGGACTTAAACAATCCGCATGTAAGCCCGATTCAAACGGTAATCAGTAAAGACAAGCCAAATATGTTAAAGGTTGAGGATTTGCCAAAAATCCTAAGTCTACGTCTAATACATGTTGTCGTTTAGTTTTTTCATGGGAGAAAGATAAAGTCTACGTATTCAATATCGTAGCACTAAAAGAGTTAACTCTTTTAGCACAACGTTATGCGGAAAACAGATTTGAACAATCTGCATGCTAGCCCGACTCAAACGGTAGTCGGTAAAGGCTAATCAAACCCATTCATGGCTGAGAATTTGTCAAAAATTCTATAAATGCGATAGTCATTGATGCACTAGCTCTATTAATTGGTCTCATGACTCAAGGATCCGACAACTTCAGGATAAGATCCAGTCATGTAGATGAATCAGCTTTAACAGTTGGTCCTGTAGCCCCAACATTTGGGACCGCCACACTCCAACACCTTAAGAGCATAAACTGTGTAGACACCGGTCAACGCGTTATGATAAAAAATCAATACCGGTCAATGTAAAACCCTAAGGTCAACGCCGGTCAACGTGTAGCCCTAGGTCAATGCTGATCAACACGTAGCCCTAGGTTAATGCCGATCAACGCATGGCCTCCGATCAACTCCAAAGTTCAGATATGAATTTTCGATGAAGATAGTCAGTTCAAAGTCAACTCAATGACATAAGGTAAAACCAACTCATTAGTTTTCATTCGAGACATCGACAACAGCCAGACGATAAACGCAGCGCCGGAGGAATTTCAGCTATTCGTCAAAATATTAAATAGATCGAAAATCGAAGAAGTCAAGAATCAAAATCAACTACTGGTCCTTTTTCACCGACTGAAGGTGGAATTGATTACATCCAAAGTATTTTAGGCTCTTCTATAAAAGAAACGAGACTGAAACACTTTTGAGGGGGTATCTGTAGGCGTCAGAAATTACCTACGGATTCACGCACACGGCTCGAGATAAAGAAAAGATGATGAACGTCATTATCCAAATCAAGGAGAATTATCTAATGTTATAGATAATCTAACAAATGCACGAAGCGAGTTGATAAAGCATACAAAGAAGCGACTCGACCTGGGGTTACGTTTCACCCACAAAGGAGTAAGAACCACTCGTGTCTTACTCATACCATAGATGTCTAACCCATGGAAGGTTGTAGAGATCTTCATGAGCTTTCTAACGCATCTTGGATTACTTCATTCCGAGGTCGGGCGAGGGAGTTAGAGCCAAAATACCCGAAACAGTACAAACTGTTTCGCACCTACGAGACACTAATTATGTCTCGCATATTTTTGTCATGATACGATTCGAATCTGAAGAATCTCAATAGATAAAAGTTGTAGGTCTCTTTGTTAGGTTTCTAACGCATTTTGAATCACGTCATTCCGAGATCGGACGAGAAAACTACGTCCCGAGACAGTCTCGGGCGTCCCGACACAGTCTCAGGCGTTCGGGCGTCCTGACATAGTCTCAGGCGTCCCGGCCCCGAAAACGCTATCCGCAACCCAAGATTCTGTCTGTAACCTCCCAAACTGATTTAAAGTTATCTTTGAACATGGTTACAATTGAGGATAAGAGCAAATCGTTCATTCTTATCTAAAAATAGGGCTTCTGAAGCCTATAAATACAGCCCTAGGGCCTTTATTTGCACAGATCTGAAATTCTCGAGCTTTGGCGAAGCCCTGTCGGTTAGGAGACTGAAGGAGCACGAATTTTTAGAGAGGAGAAGGATATCTCGGTGACTCATTCAGCATAAAGAGGAATAGCTCGAGAGATCTGCATCTGGTTCATCCGCTTCCATCGAAATCGTACCTAGTTGTGATTCTCGAGAAGAGTGGGTATCTCGCTTTGCCGAGATATTCGCTTAAGTTTCTTATCTCCTTTGCGAGGCAACGAAACCGTTCTTTTGATCTGATCGCTCAGTGGTCCACAGATTAACCCCAGCACAGGCAAAGATCCCACACAAGCAGAAGACCGATAAACGATCTCTGCGTGTGTTCTCAGGAAAACTTTCTGTTTCTTTTCATTGTAAGGAAAGTCTTATAAAAAGACTTAATTTTTTTTTGAATCGTTGTAACGCTTGAAGTTGTAATGGATTCGAAAGCTATGAAACCGATTTTCGATGCGAACATCTAACAGACTTCACGGGAGTTCAACTCCCGTGAAGTCTGTTCTCTGAATAAATCTTCACGGGAGTTGAACTCCCGGGAAGATTTTTGAAGAATTTAATCTTCACAGTAGTTCAACTCCCGTGAAGTTTAAAAATATGCTAAACTTCATGGGAGTTTAACTCCCGTGAAATCTCATAAAAAAAAATTTTAGAAACCGACCTGGTTTCATCGACATGGCTGAAACCAGATCGGTTTTTTAAAATAACTTCGAAGCGGATCGTTTTTTGCAAATAAAAGTTCAAATAGGACTGTTTTGAAAATTTGTCCTATGTTTAATCAGTGGACAATTTAGAATAAATCACATCACAAGAGTAGGTTTGGATGAAATTTCTGTTAATTAGGGGTACTGTTACACTGGAAACAACTCAAATTGTAAACTAATTAGGAAATGAAGATTTGTGTAATATGAGAAAAGAAATCCTCAAATGTAAAATATACAAAACTCACAATTCGCTTGCTGAATTCAATTCCAGCAACAATGAAGGGCGTTATACCAGCTGGAGATGAAATAAATGGTCAGCAAATGAGTGAAAGTGGCAAGCGAAATTAAGGAGAGGGGGAAAGAAAATGCGGTATGAATTAGTTAATATTGAAACAAGTGAAGGTAAGGATAATTATGTATGCGTGCCGCGTGCGTACCTATAGAACCAACAGCAATTTGCCATGAAATTTCGACGGGAGCAATTTGGTGAGACTCAATTGCGTTAGCTCGCTGTTGATGGCTCAACGATCTCCTGCTGCCGCTGTTTCTGTTTGTATTTCGGGAACTTGGATAATAACAGCAGCAATGTTGTATAGATGATGACAACATTTACGCCCTCTCCCTCTTCTTCTATTTGTATTTCTCTGTTATGATTTATGAGGAACTAAACGACCATTCATTCATTTAATAGAGAGAGAGAGAGAGGATTTTTTTAATAAGTCTTGCCCTCACTTTTTATTATTTCATTGTGCCCGCCTGCCAACATTATCCACTCCATCATGTGTGGCCCGCTTAAATCCTCTTCTTTTTCCTTGGTTTCTCTTTTTCTATTGCTGTATTTTTTTTTCATACAGCTGATTGGCAAGGTATGAAAAGAAGCAACTGCTCCAAAAAGAGGAAAATAATCCACAAAGAAGAAACGTTTATACCCACTCTAAATCTCAGTCAAAACCGTTAACAAAAGACAAAAACAGCCCCAGCAAACAGCTCAGAGAAATAGCCGTTGGAGTGCAACGGATCTATTGTCGGTCGACCGAAAATTCTGTCGGTCGACCGATGGAGAGCAAAAACACGAAGACCAGCTCTGGACAATCGTCGGTCGACCGGTGCGGTCGACCGATGGAGCTTTCGGTCGACCGGACCAGTCGACCGACCAACTATCTATCACATGCTGACGAAGGAACAAATGAGCGGTCGACCGGATCGGTCGACCGAAAACTGATATGCAGAAAAACAGGTTTTAGAAGCTGATTTTGAGACTTTAGAAAATATGTTAAAAATAACAAATGAAGTCCAAAAATAATGAAACTTTGGGAAATGTATATAAACATGAAAATAAACATGTTACAAAAAGAATTTTCCAAATTGCATTTTTCCCATTTGTGAAAAATCATCATTTTGCAAAATAGTCCAAAACATGAAAATATGAGATACTTAAATTTTGATGTTTTGACATAAACCAACTTTTGAAACTTTATGAAATGTTTTTACAGACTTAGTAAAACATGTATAAACTGATATTGAAGTCTACAAACTAAGAATACAATATTTTCACAAAATTTCATATTCTATGCAATGTTTTCAAAAACACAATAGAAAATATGAAATATATAATTTCATATATATAATCATAAAAACTCAAAACACATGTATGTATATATATAACTATATATATGCATAGAAACCAAAACTTATCTTTAACTTGAATTGTATGTAGCTTCACTCCACAAATCCGCCAACCTCCATTGGATATCATCGTTGAAGTTCTATTCCATCCATCCTCCAACAACGTTGTTTGTCTACAACACATAGGAAAACACAAACACTAGACAAAACAACATTAGTAGTAAATTGTTTGTAAATCATCATCAAAACAAGAAGGCCAACACTATCTCATATAGTATTGACCTGAGCCCATTAACGATATCCGACATGTGTATAAACGGTATAAATCTGGCATATCGACGCACTATCTCATATAGTACTAAGCTGATCCCATTAACGATATCTGACATATGTATAACCTGTATAAATCTGGCATATCGATGAACTATCTCATATAGTACCGAGCTGAGCTCATCAATGATATTTACCTTATGTATAAATTGTGTATATCTGGTATGTCGACGTACTATCCCATATAGTACTAAGCTGTGCTCATCAACGACATCCAACATGTGTATGAACAATATTTAATTTTGAATATGATTAAACCAAAACTCATCATAATCCCCTTAGGATTCTCAATGTAAAACCCCGAAAATTTGAATATAGTGTGATAAATAATTATAAACATGTTATAGGGTGAAAATAATGTATTTTGATGTTTGAGTATGATAGGAATTATTTGAGATCAATTCAATGTATATTTGTGAATATATGAGTGTAAATACACAAAACATGCACAAAGGCCAAGAGTGAAAATCTGAAAATTATGACCAGTTGAGAGTTTCTATATTTTTTATACTAATTCAGTTAGAATCTGAGAATGTGTATAAGACAAAAGTTGTAGGTCTCTTCAATATCTTTCCAACGAATCTTAGATCACCTCATTCCGAGATTGGATGAGAAAGTTACAGCCTTTATTCCAAACCCCAGTCTGACCATGACCCAGAACCCTACGCAATCGACCGTCGTGGTCGCTGCGGTCGACCGCTGGGCGAACCTGGTTCTGTCAGTTCTGTTTCAGGTCGGGTTTTGTTTGTACCAAACTCAGTTGTTACCATAGGTATATATACTCGTTTTGAAGCTCTCAAAACCCTCTTTTGAACCCTAATAGCCTCAGCCCCCTCCTCTCTCTTTTTCAAATCCTAAAACCCCTTTCTTTGGCGTTTCTTGGAGGATTTTGGAGGAGTCGACGCGAGATCCATCGGTGTTCAGTGAAGGAAGATCGTTCTCATTCATTTTTGGGAGTTCATCTGCACCCAACAGGCGAGTAACATCTCGCCCAATCCCTCACCCATGTTTTTACGAGCTTTTCTAACGATTTAAATGAGTTTTCTTAAGCCTAAATCACTATTTTGCGTATATAGATAGATCTTTATGACACATGATATGAAAACTAAGAATTTTAGTTTTCAAATACTCACCAATGATTTTGGTTAAAGAGATCAAATCTGAAAAATGCTTTATTAAGAGTTAAATTTCTGATTTTTACTGTTTTATAAAGTTTAAAACACGGGTATACATGTTCATGATTTTTAGTGATGATTTTCACATGCTAAATGTTGCTATATGATGATTCATATATATTAGAATATGTGATATATCATTTGGAATCAGGGATGGATTGTTTGGATCAATTTCGAAACAGAGGAAAAACCTAAATTTTAGCATCTGGCAGTCTCGCGGTCGACCGCAGCGCTGTGCGCGGTTGACCGCTGGGCGTACTATTGAGCAGAACATCTCAGCTCATTTGCGCGGTCGACCGGAGTGGCCTCTGTGGTTGACCGCGATACTGTTTGTGCATGATTTTGTTTTGTTGTGTATATTGTGTGTACAAATTGTTTACCTCAATTTATCCGGCATTAAATTTTAGTATGGAACATTTGTCTATATATGTGAGTGACATTATGATATCAGTTTAGACCCGCACACTGAGGTACATGTGTTACTAGTATATGTGTACCTTTTCATACATATGCATCATGAACGTTGGCATAGGTTATATATAGTCCATGTGTTGGACATGCATTCACCTTTCAGTCCTCGTTTTGGACTATAATCCATTGAAGTCCTCGTGATGGACTATAATCCATTTTTTTGTCCTCGTGTTGGATATTTACATATTAGACCATGTGTGGACATTTGTTAAGCTATGAGTATGACACTTATCTGAATCAGGACATGACATGATTACATGAGATTTGGACATGATAGCTACCTAGGCTGGACATGACACTTACGTAATTTTGACCTTTGACACTTATTTGGTTATGACATGACACAGTATTTAAGTTCTGAGATGGGTTGTATTTCTCTTTATTGTTGTTCATGTTTTAGATTTTGGGTTTGGTGTTTAGGGATTTACAATTTGAGATACAAGGTATATACATGAGGGTTTCCTTGTTTAGATTATTTCGCTCGACGTACCTATGCTCGTGTTGTAAATCTTTAAATACTAAAATCCTATTTTGTTAGGATCTATGATTTTAGACTATTATATATTAACTGTATTTTCTTATATATATAACGAGCCCTCTCCCTTGGGGTTGGTTGTGATATTGTTCGCTAGCACTTTGACGCTCGTTGTCCCTCCCATTTCAGGTAACGACTCAGGTGCACGGAGAGTCGCAGGTTGATGGCGATGCACATTAGCGTCCATCTTTTTTTCCATAGTTTTATTTTATTTATGGAACTCCACTGTAGACTTTGTTTAGACATTTAAGGATTTTATTCTATATGTTGTAAAGGCTTTGTGCCTTATTTCCTTTACTCAGACTTATTGTATTTGAGACTTGTTAAGAACTCCAGTTTATTCATTTCAGACATTGACTTTATATTTCTGTATGTTGGATGATGAAATATTATTTTGATCTCTATCATTTCATCAGTTATCTCTTGTATTATCTTTTACTTGCTTTTGTACCTACACCTGTTATTGACTCTACTAGAGTGATAGAATTGTGATGGTAAAACATATTATTGCACGGTGTGGTGCATGGCAGGTTTGATATTCTTAGTTTTACCTTGGACTGCAACCTTGTGTGAACCCAGTGGCGTCACAGTTGGTATCAGAGCTCTAGTTCCAGTATCCTTAGGATCATTCTGTGTCGAGTCGTGGAGCTAGGATAGAATTTCTTAGGATTCATGTATAGAGTTCGTAAGGATTTCTTAGTATGAGTGATCTCATTTACTGTGATAATTAAGTTCTCCTTTTGATATTATAAATATCAAAATGAGGATGTGGTCAAGGTAAAACTCGTACCTGGAGAGCTGAGCATACAGAATCGAGCCGCAGAAGGCTCCACAGTATTTGATCGACTTTATGGCACCGTTAGCAACAAGATCTTACAACACTAGAGGAGCAAGAAGTGTATCCGTTTCCGTCAGCAATACCACTTTTAGGAGTTCCATCATCGGTTGTACCCGTCATGAAAGTAAAGAGGCAATACCAATGAGGGCACCACCACCACAATCAGCTGTTTATAGAGCCACAGAGCAAGAGGTTTAGCTCTGAAAGAATAAGAAAGATATCAGACAATGAGAGCACCAGAGTTTCAAGGCGCACCAACTTCATTTGCAACCTATAAGGGAAGGAGTATGTGAAAATTCCTTGAATGTCGACTTAGTACCAAGCAGAAGCTAGATGTATTCAGCACTGAGGACATCGCTGGAGGATAGAAACAACATCCAGATTTTTTACGGGGTAGCAATTATCACCTAATTGGGAGAATTTTAGTCACAACTTCAACAAACTGTTAGAGCTAGTCTAAGTGAAGCAGGGAGATATACCCGTAGTGAAGGAAGAAATCAAAACCAGAATAGTGAAAATGACAATGGTAAGAGAACTATTGCGAAAACTAGAGAATTCTAGCAGTGTCAAAACCAGAATAGTGAAAATGACAATGGTAAGAGAACTATTGCGAAAACTAGAGAATTCTAGCAGTGGAAGAATGATTTTAACCCAGCAACAAGGATAATATAAGAAAGGAGCACAATATGATTCGAGAGCGCCAAAGTAGTGTAGAATTTGGAGTACATGTTACAATCACAACAAGATCAAACAAAGA